CCTGTGGTGTAAACAGGAGCGTTAGTCCAAATGATCGGCGAGGCCGAAATAGCCGACCAGTAGGGCCAACGCGGCAGGCCTCAGCACTAATGGGGCTAGGTGTCACTGTCCGGCGTACACTAACCTGACCTTCGTGCAAGCGCCGAACATAGCTGGCCAAGGACTGCTGCCGAGCGATTCGTCGGGGGTGAGTGAGCTGATGCAACACCAGTCTCATATTAAACATATCCTCTAATGTATTTTTGATCTGGATTGTGGCGCTCTAGCGGCAGCAGGCCTACCATGTTCATTTATTTTCCTTCTCCCATAAATAACAGCGACGTATGATTCTATCAAGCAGCTTTCCACGAATACCGAGAACGAAATTTGTTATTTCGCGATCGGTCTTCGGCCGTAGCGCTACCGAATAAACCACAGCCGCAACAGCGTTGTCAGATGTAGTACCGGGTTCAAATGGGTATGTAGTGCTAAAATTGCCGGAAATTTTTAGCCACAACCCTCGCCCTGATTCGCCCTTTTTATAACGCAGACTGATAGGGAGTCGATACGACCCAGCTGGAGTTTTCAAATTGATAAAGATAGAGCCTAGCGGAAAACATCGGTGGGTTTTCTTAACGATATCTCGCGACTGGTACTAGTTATCGTGTTGCTATGTCAATACTAGACCCTATTTTTGTGAGTTAAAATGCCAGATTTTCCAGAAGATCGTATTTTCAGATTTAAAACACCATGCATACGACACCATGCCATGTAGCAGCACGAGGCCTGAACAGATGTGCAACTGGTCTTCTTATGACTACAGTGGTGTATATATTATGCTGTTTTAAGCATATGTTTATGATGTATAACAATGTCGGCTGCCTGCAATTAACTAGACTGATGATTGGCCTATAACTAACAGAGACTTGCGATTTCATCAAGCAGGTTTTCAACGAATATCGAAAATAAATATCACACATACGACACCACGCCCAGTGGCGACATGAGGCCTACACATATGCGTAACTGATTTAATTATGACTACAATAATGCATATTCGATTTGTTTTGAGCACACTTTTATGATATATAACAATATTGGCCACCACGCGCGTTCCACAGCATCGATTATTGCCGCCCGCGCCGACCGTAGATCGCCGTCTGATGTTCCCAAAAAATCGCCGCTGTTCCGCAACGAGAGAAGCTGGGAGCACACTTTTGGTGCCAAAACACTCGAAGTGGATCCCCCACAGCCGCATGAAAATTTGGGTACGATTGCACGACATGCAGGAGAGGTGTCCTCAAAACAAATTTAAGGGGGTCGCACCGAACCCCCCTCCCCCCACCCCGCCCTTAGGGTGATGGTTAACGCGGGCCGAAGCAAGCATTTTATTTGGGCATTCATAAAACTACGTAGCCACTTCATATTCATAGACATTTGCATGTTCTTCCCCAAAACCTATGCATCCATACATTCCGGCAACATGCGGTACAGCTCACAACACCCTTGTGGAGATTGTCGTTCTCCCCGAACTCAGATACGATTTTAGTTTTGAGTGACGGAGCTACTCCGAGTTTAATTTCATGTCCCAATTTATCAGTATTCATCTCAGCAGGGTCAATATGCTGGAAAATTAGCTCATTTTAGCGTGTGTCGTGAACATACCCGTTGTTTAACATTGTAGTGCCTTAGACAAACGAATTTGACCAATGCCGTGCTCTTTACTCATAAAGCATCGGGGAAGGAATGGCTTTAACTATGGTCCATTCATCCGCCACTATTTCTTTCGCACCATCCCTCCGCCGGCACCAACATGCCTAGGTTTTTAGGGATGGTGTCGTGAGCTGTTTTAACTCGAATGCTATCAGTCCCGGGCGTGGCGGCAGAGCACGTGCATCAGTATGTGTATCCAGCAATGTTCATATTTAAAAAAAACAAAGGCAGCAGTTCTTGTGGTCAGCCGATGCTGTTGCCTTTTCTCCAGTTTGAAGTGCCTAAAGTTTAATGACAGATTCGCGAATTATTACCAGCCTCTGGTTTGTGGGTTGCTCTGCGAAGTGATTCAGGTTGTACTTGCAGCGCATCAAAAATGTTCTTTTCCAGGTCACGTCACCCAGAGCCTTTGTCGGACGTGCCCACGGTGCGACACGCTTTTTGTTCACACCTTCGTTACTGTCGTGACAGCAACTGCGCATGCAAATACACTAAGATTTTCGTTTGTAGGTATTACGCGTGCTCGTAGCAGTTGATACCGCGAACTATACTATTTGTAACTTTAAAGACACATTCTTATCACTCGTGGTCGGCCCCGTGCACGCATATTGGCTTCCCCTTAAATGAATATGTTGCACCGTTTCTGTCTCACTTCGATCAGTTCGCGGAAAAGGATTTTGCACGTCCGGCATAGATTCTACGTGACGTCACGCAGGGTCTTTGTCGGACGTGCAGGATGTTTTTGCGGCTAGATGGAGGTGAGACATGAATGGCGTAGCATGTTGACAAATAAACAAGTCACTTAACGCACCCAGGACCGACTGAGGGTGACAAGAAGGTATCTTCTACGTTACAAACAGCGTAATTTGCAGGTTCCGCTCATAGGGGTGCACATAGCACACGGAAACGATTTATTGTGTTATCGCATGCGCAGTTATTGCCACGACAGTTATTAAAATGTAAACGGTAAGCATGTCACGCTGCGAACATGTCTCGTAAAGATGCTACGTGACGTCACGTAGAATAGAACATTCCTGATGCGCTGCGTATATACCCTAAGTCTCACCGCGACCAAAGCCTTGGAGTCCCGTTGAAGACGAGATATCCCATCGTGCATACATTAATACTTCGTCGTTCCAGTTCGCCTCCCAAGTCTCACTGACCGCTGCACCCATGCGTTTCAATTCCGCACGTGCTCTCTGGTTGTCCCCAGCTGGAGATTGTTGCTTGATGCTGCCCCCGCCCATCAGCGCCGGCCATGCTGACCACCTCCCGCGGTGGCTATTTCCGGCCAGATAACCGCGTGACGCAGCCACCGCGTCACTCCCGCACCGGCTGCGTCACGTCACGCCGCCAGCTGAGCCGCCCTGCGGTCTTCCCTGGGAACCCTTGAAGTCCGCTCCCCGGCACGGTTCTGATCCTGACATAACCACACTGTGACTGACGTACTCTAGTTCTCGTGATCACTTCTCATGCAAGAATTTCAAGCGCATCATCTGTCGCGAGATAAAGCTTCTAGTGCACAAGCTTCCACGCGACATACTATGCTACGCCACAAATAGCTTCAATGGCTCTGATGACAATAGCTTCAATGGCTTCAATGACAATGGCTCTGATCGCCGGTACAAGGACTATGTTCCGAACTCGGAACTTGGGACTTCTTCGCCGCCTCTGCAAGGCACGGGTCCCTTTTTCAGTATCGGGCCTCTTTTTCACTGCCACTACCAAGAGCCTCTGACTGGTGGAGGTCAGTTCCTTCACCCTCTCATGGGCTCCGGATGACGTTGTGATTCTCCAACTAGCCTTTTGTGTCCCTGTACCTGTCTCCGTTTGGCTAATGGCCCCACTGAGTTGTACGGCCGCCCTGATCAATACCCAATGGAGCCCCTTTCATTAGTGCTAGGGGCTCTCAGCCGATAGAATAGCCCCTTCCAACGCAGGGGCGTGGGTGCTGCACGACCGTGCCGTCGATGCGCCCTGTCGACCTATGCCATGCGACCGGGCATGGGTCAGAATTTAGAGTATACGTTTCAAACGACGCACGATAATTTCAGCAGCACAAATCTTCAAAATTGGAAATAGAATGGCGCTGCTCGTGTACAGTTCTTGCGTATTGGGACATACGCAGAAATGCAACTTTTGGCACGTTTGTCTTTATAGGCACAGGCCATTGCTAAGCATCTGTCTACAACAATATCTCCTCCCGGGATGTCGGTTACGGAAAACGGAATTTACAACCCTTGTGAAAAGCAGTGCCACGTGTAGTTTACCACATTAACAGTCTGTCTTGTAGAAGTGTTTGCGTCATACATTCTCGCATCGGAAGTCACATCGCACATAAGTTTTACGTTCGAAGTTTGTCGCGTCGAAGCAATGTCGCACAGAAGCTGCGTGCTGGAACTAAATCGCATGGAATTGTGTGCGCTGGAGGCTTTTGCATAAGAGCTAATGTCGCGCATGCGGTTCTGCGTTAGACACCTTGTCGTGCGGAACAAATTTAGCGCGGAAGTTTTGCGTAGGAAGATTTGTCGCGCGGAAGTTCATGCGCTAGAAGATTTGACACGAAAAAGTTTGTGTCAGAAGTTCTTGCATTAGAATTGATGTTGTGTAGAAGCCGCGCCGTGGGAGTTCTGTCGTTACACGCATTTGTGTTAGAAGTGTCTCTAGCGCACCTCCAGCCACTGCCCTGATGCCAACATCACCTCCCGCCACTGCCCTGATGCCAACATCACCTCCCGCCACTGCCCTGATGCCAACATCACCTCCCGCCACTGCCCTGATGCCAACATCACCTCCCGCCACTGCCCTGATGCCAACATCACCTCCCGCCACTGCCCTAATGCCAACATCACTTCCCGCCACTGCCCTGATGCCAACATCACCTCCCGCCACTGCCCTAATGCCAACATCACTTCCCGCCACTGCCCTGATGCCAACATCACCTCCCGCCACTGCCCTGATGCCAACATCACCTCCTGCCACCGCCCTGATGCCAACATCACCTCCCGCCACTGCCCTGATGCCAACATCACCTCCCGCCACTGCCCTAATGCCAACATCACTTCCCGCCACTGCCCTGATGCCAACATCACCTCCCGCCACTGCCCTAATGCCAACATCACTTCCCGCCACTGCCCTGATGCCAACATCACCTCCCGCCACTGCCCTGATGCCAACATCACCTCCCGCCACTGCCCTGATGCCAACATCACCTCCCGCCACCGCCCTGGTGCTAACATCACCTCCCAGCGCTGCCGTGGCACTGGCGTCCAGCCCGTTCGGCCCGCACCGGCCGCCGCCCCACCCACCGTCAATCATCAGCTGGCCGTTCCTCCGCGACTCCGGGTTGGGCTCGTAGTGCTTGATGATGTCCATGCACTTCTCCCACGTCAGCCCTGTCATCTGCCGGGCAAAGGCGGCCGTCAGCACGAGCCAGCCGCCACCGGCCCGCCCTGCCGCGGACCTCGGTAACACCGACGCGACGACGAGTCGCCGCCGTCGCCACCTGACGCGACGTCGGGCGCCCGTTCGCCAACGATCGACTTCGCTATGACTTGTCGTCACGATACTGAGCAATGACTCGTGGTGTGTGCTAAGCACTCGTGTGCCCGGCCATGTGCCGCCGTGATTGATCCTGCTTAAGTTTGATCCATAGTATTTGTTCACAAGGCGCGACGGGGCTGAACGGTTATCGGCGATTTCCACTTTTTATGGAGTTAATCGAGCGAGGGCAGTGGCCGTCACTGAGGTCTGAAGAATGTTTTTATGGGCACTTTCGTCGCCTGTAAACATCCCTGGTATCCACTCAATTTGGAGGGCGTTCTAGAAATGAGGCTCGATGCTGGTGGTGCACACCACTAGGCTTCAGAAAACCAAACGGGTACATGAGACAGTTTTCCAAGAAAACAGCAGGGCAAAGTGCCAGCGCTGAAGAATAATTTGAGCCAACAGCATGGAGGCAGCCGCCGCAATCACCACTTTCGCCCGCTGCGCTGACGACGCGATGTAACACGGCCACTGGGCGGTAACGCGCCGCCGTCCTTGGGTTATTTTCAGATTTCTGGCCACAACGTGTTCAGCCCGGCATGGCGTGGTCGTCGGCGGGGGGAGGGTAGGGGTCCGGTTCGCCGTGCTCCGGCAGGGCATCGCTGACGGTCGCGTGCTCCGCCGTCTGATAGCGGGTCGGTGAGCGCCAGCGGCAGCCAGACGGCGCGCCATCACGGGCCCGGGGCGGGCGGAGCTCTGGTGGCGCCGCCGTGGCTGGCGCTATAACGTCGAGATTAGATCGGCGGCCGGGCAATATGGGGCCGACGCGTGACTCGCGTCACAGCCGACACCGACGGCTGCCGGGCCGGCCGGCCGACCGCCCCACAGAGACCGCCTCGGAGCGCGGCGTCACCGGTCACGGCCGCCGGAGCAGGCCAGGGCGTAGAGGCCGCCTCGGGGCGCGGCGTCACCGCCGGAGCAGACCAGGGCGCAGAGGCCGTCTCGGGGCGCGGCGTCGCCGCCGGAGCAGACCAGGGCGCAGAGGCCGCCTCGGGGCGCGGCGTCACCGCCGGAGAAGATGATGGTGCGGCGGCCGCCTCGGGGCGCGGCGTCACCGGCCACGGCCGCCGGAGCAGACCAGGGCGCAGCGGCTGCCTCGGGGTGTGGGCGTCACCGGTCACGGCCGCCGGAGCAGACCAGGGCGCAGCGGCGCCTCAGGGTGTGGGCGTTACCGGTCATGGCCGTCGGAACAGACCAGGGTGCAGCGGCTGCCTCGGGATGTGGGCGTCACCGGCCACGGCCACCGGAGCAGACCAGGACGCAGCGGCGCCTCGGGGTGTGGGCGTTACCGGTCATGGCCACCGGAGCAGACCAGGGCGCAGCGGCGCCTCGGGGTGTGGGCGTCACCGGCCACGGCCACCGGAGCAGACCAGGGCGCAGCGGCGCCTCGGGGTGTGGGCGTTACCGGTCATGGCCGTCGGAGCAGGCCAGGGCGCAGCGGCGCCTCGGGGTGTGGGCGTTACCGGTCATGGCCGTCGGAGCAGACCAGGGCGCAGCGGCGCCTCGGGGTGTGGGCGTTACCGGTCATGGCCGTCGGAGCAGACCAGGACGCAGCGGCGCCTCGGGGTGTGGGCGTTACCGGTCATGGCCGTCGGAGCAGGTCAGGGCGCAGCGGCCGCCTCGGGGCGCAGCGTCAACGCCAGAGCAGACCAGGGCGCAGCGGCCGGTTGGCTCAATGCCGTGATGAGAAGGGGAAAGGGTAATGCCGAATGGAAACGAGGCCGCGCTAATGGCTTTCTGAGGGAAAACACAGGTGGCATTGGCTAAGGCGTGAAGAGGACAGCTTTCGAAAGATTGCACTGAATTTTGACAAAGTTGGCGTTGATTTGCTGTGGAAAGACGGTAACCAATGACCATTTTTACCGCAGGTTACGTTACCTATAACACATTTTGTCAAGTGCAGGAGCAGTGAACGCTATTAATAGGACGATGAAGCAGATATTGTACCATGTGGTTGGGCGCAAACATATCGGTGTATTTCAAAGTCGTTGACTTATTCCTGATCCAACCACACATGGGATGAGTTAGGACGCCGTTTGCCGGGGGGTGGGGGAGGGAGACGGAGAGGGGGGGTGGGCTCGTTAAACCATCAATAATTTTATATTTTTCTTTAAACTAGAATTTTAAGGGACCCCGTCTAGAACATTCAGGCTCACGTCACTCTCAACCAAGTCAAAGAACCCATAACGTTGGCTGATAATACGAATAATTTTTGGCCACTGACTCTGTTTTACGTTCATACACGCTTCGTTAGGGTTGAAGCTGGCCACCACTTCCACCATGTGTTGTGAACTCATGACGTTTTCATTAAAATTCCAGGGGATTCTTGGTCAATGAAGTCACAAATTTACTTGACGTGAACAAAAATGGTGTCTGGACTTATCAATGTTTGTGCATGCTGCCTTAAGTGACTTTATCTAGGTAAGTGTTTAAGTCTGCACCATACGCTCACAGACGTTCAACTCGGGCCACGGGTCGCCCTAGGTGGCGTTCAAACGGCATCATCCGACGAAGAGTCGTCTTCTTAAAGCGGTTTTTGACCTTCAGCCTGTTTCATATTCATGTATGACGATCTATGTATCCATATGTGCTCAACGGACGCGCCATTTATCAAACATGCTTATTTGCACACATCAGCTATAATTAGTCGAAATGTCAAACACAAACAAACTTGACTTTTGACCTGACATGCGACATTGTATCCGGCCTACAGATAGTAAAATGGCGCGTGTTAGGGCTGTGTGTTCGACGGAGATCTTTTGCTGTCCGAGTCAGAGATTCTACGCTCACGCCGTCACTCAGGAGGAGGGGCAACGTGCTCCTACTTCTAGCAAGTGGAAGTTGGCAGCCGCCCCAGTATATGCTGGGTTATCAAAATTTGAGCAAGCGCGGAGCACAGTGCGACACCCTCTCCCAATAGCACTAAATAGATCGGCCTGCCAAAAAACCGCTTAACTTTGTTATTAACGGAAACAGTAGAAAATCACGATTCCAAAAAGTGTATATAGCAGACCTTTTCAGGTAACTTGCGTAAGCCTAGGCAGCAGCGTGCATGACCGATTTTCACATTTCTGAGTACATTTCCTCTCGCGGTTTGGATCTCAACCACGGACTGACAGACAAAACCACGTCCCCTGCGCTGGTAGTACCGCTCTTACCATGGCCCTGATACGATCAGCAAACCCAACGGTACATTGTCCGAACTTACCCCTTGCTCTCCTTCCAAGAACAAGTGAAGGTCTTCCACTGTCATATATTCTTTATTGGAATGCCTGAAACGGAATGAAAGCTATCAAGAGTTTGTATATCAAATCATATATGTACAGCCCCGGGCCGTGCGATGTTTTAACGAGCACCTGAACTGCACGCGTCCAACGTTCTGAAGTCTTGCGCACAGCCGTAAAATAAGTTACATTGAATGTCTTTCAGGAAATGGCTGATGTGATGACGGCAGAAGGGGCAATCAACGTACGAGCAAGTTAAGACGTGCGTCTTTATATAAGCACAATGAGCATTGAAGCCGCGTACTGCCGCCCATGTTGTGCGGGTGTACAACAAATTAGGCCATTACAAACACAGCTGCACGGCAGCATTTACCCTTTCTTCAGCACATACGGTTTTTTTAATGTTCCGGCACTCACTACGCTCTTGCGTGCCCTCGTAAAAGACCCCAGCACAGCGCGCAAGCGCAGCAGTCTATACAAGTCCTCCTGAAAGGGGACCCTTCGGTGACGTTTGGGTTATGACACACGTGAGTCTAATTAATATACCGCGCTCCTAGTGCCCTGTACATCAACTGCTCGGCATGAAATTACGGAGATAGGTAGCATAACGAGCAATTAATTATAACCTGTACTGATGTGATCGTATGCGACAAACCTAGGAGCTGAGTTAATGGACCAGCAACTCTTACGTTGCAATGTTTCAGAACGTTCGTATTTTCCATGGAGCCGCCAGTATGTTCTGCCTCAACACGTATTGCGGCGGTGCTCCCAAACTTTGATGGCGGATGGCAAGCAAACGCACTTGTGGGACGCGCAGCTAGTCAACGCCTAAGCCAAACACCAACCTAAACGGCACAAATCAACTTCCCAACAGGTCTATGTCACCAGGACGCCACACTTCACTTCCCAGGTGCCAAAAATGTTTTACAGACTGGTCTTACCCGCACCCGGCCGGGGGTCTGAGACCACCGCGACGGCGGGGGTCTGAGACCACCGCGACGGCCGGGGGGTCTGAGACCACCGCGACGGCCGGGGGTCTGAGACCACCGTGACGGCCTGGGGTCTGAGACCACCGCGACGGCCGGGGGTCTGAGACCACCATGACAGCCGGGGGTCTGAGACCACCATGACGGCGGGGGGTCCGAGACCACCATGACGGCTGGGGGTCCGAGACCACCATGACGGCGGGGGGTCCGAGACCACCATGACGGCGGGGGGTCCGAGACCACCATGATGGCCGAGGGTCTGAGACCACCATGACGGCGGGGGGTCCGAGACCACCACGACGGCCGGGGGTCTGAGACCACCGCGACGGCCGGGGGGTCTGAGACCACCGTGACGGCCGGGGGTCTGAGACCACCGCGACGGCCGGGGGTCTGAGACCACCGTGACGGCCGGGGGGTCTGAGACCAACTGCAACGGCCGGGGGAAGTTGACTTCTCCTGGGACCTCTAACTTCCAGACGCCGCATGAGAAAAGCAAAACGCTGTTTAAAGGTCCATCAAGTTATGAACAATGCACACCAAATGCTTGACCTTAGACCAAATTTGAGATTACTAGAGGTCATGAAATGTAAAAAACGTCATTCCCATAGATGCAGCTGAAACTTGTCACCACGTAAGACCGATATTGAGGGCGCAGAAGTAAATGTTAATACTGTGAAGAGTACATTCGACTATTCCTTTTCCCCTAAATGGGACACCTCAGATCAGGTCACCATTCAGAATTGGTCTCCCATTAGCCTACAAGAACGATGATTTTTCACAACGTGCTTCTCTAAGTTCATTTTATTACGTGCAGATGCGGAAAAAAAGGTATTCTAGACACAAAAATACCATTTTAGGCTGAGCTTGATGTCATCTGAGATCAGGCTGGGTCCATTTATGAGCCATCAAAATGGACAAAATTGAAGTGCGAATCAGGTCTATGTGACCAGCACAACCGTTTTACGTGGTCATAAGTAGGTATTGTATATCTACAGGTACTCGAGATTGCACAGCTGTTGTGTGCATTATGCATAGTCCCTTCCACGCTCGACAATGCATTTGTAACAAACTGAGAGCAGGCACGCTGGCCGTCATAAGCTTCACAAACACGATAGAAAGGTGGGGTCGCTGACAGCATTGACCTAGTGCAACCCGTTACTGACAGCATTGACCTAGGTTGGCCTCATATGACCTGACATGTTCTCACGTGACCTATTGTGACCTCATCATACATTAGAACGATGTCACAACACGTTTTCAGTGGAGCATTCGAATTATGCGTTCGAAATTACCTAATAGCACTGCCCACTTTGAGCTCAGCATGTGTTTTGCAGAGGGTAACTCTAGAGGTAAGTCATGATCTAGGCCAAGGTCATGAGCTCTGTGGTCTTATTATGGCTGTGAATACAATGCAGTACTCTATTTTTTCACAGCAAATACCAAAACCACACAAAACACGTACAAATTTACATCATTTACGAACAACGGCAGATGCTGACCTGACTTAAGACCAATAAATTGGCCCTTTAAAAAACAGAAATGCACAAACTGTAAGTTCTGTCAAGTTTTTTTTTTGCCACAGAGAGTTATAACAGTGGAAAATGACTCACAAAAAGTTATGTGTGGTGATGATCTTGGTAGATCAAAGCTTCAAGGTTGCTCAAAGGATGCCGAATTGAAGGATGAGCAAGTAATCGAAATTTCGTGCTGCTGCAAGCGTTTGTTTGTGACCTGTGCTCGAAAAACCGTAGTTGGAAGTTTACTTCCCCTGACAGGGTGTGGATAAATCCTCAGATTTGGAAATTCTTCAGCGGTTGTCAAATTGCTTTATAGTATTTCTAGTAACGTCCTCGCTGCTCAAACAACTGTAACAGATCATCTCTCTGACTTTACGCAAGGAAAATTTGCAAGCCCTTTATCTGAAGGATTGCTCTTTCCCAGATAAACCCTACCAAATGCTCTGGCACTTTTTGTTAAAGTATGCTAGAGATATCAATAGTTTGAGAAAAGAAACTTAAATTCCTTTACGTCACGCGGCATATAACATCAGCTGTACCAAACGGTCACCGATGAACGGCCAAACCCCTTTCCCACACATGAATATCGTGAGCAATGGATCATACCATAACGTACGCCAAATCCATAACCTAGTGAACGAAGCCTATGCCGTCATCGCTAATGACCCACATCTTGGAATAAATGCAAAACTTGTCTCATTCAAGGGCAGGAAAGAGTAAGACTTGCTAGGTGCAATTGTGTTAAAAAGTATTTCATACGAATATTACGGTGTCGGATATGACCACGTCGGACATCGCCGTGTGGATCCATTTGTGCTCCCAGAATCAGGCTCTCTTCGTTCTGGCACCCATATGAAGTAAAACATTCTGTTTGAACGAAATATCACACACGCTAAGCTCACAGATCGCGACCATCTCATGCATCCTGCTCGCGATAATACAACTTCTGGGATTCCTAAACACCAATCACTCGTTTCTAGGCGTCTAGGTGTTTCAGCTAATGCGGATGGTATCAACGTAGTACCGACGCGCCCCAAGGGAAAGCACCTCACCTGAGTAACAGGAAATAGATATCAGGACGCGTGGCGATTTCTTTGAACATGTCAATAAACTCCCTGCTCGTCAGCATACCCCTGGCGTCGCCGTCTGCTCTCTGGTTGTCGTACTCCTGGAACAGAACCATAACAGTGTTCAATCACAGCTTGCCCGTCCACATCTGCCGGGACTGCTCGGTCAATACCGACGCATTAGTGGTTACGGTGGTTCTACCATGTCCTTTTGTGAGACGCCGACTTTGTCTATCGATTATGCTTATTGTGATTCTCGAACGTCGCGAATGTATGTTTCAAACAACTGTGCAACGCTTCTACTCAATTGTCAGTCGTCCAGAGTAAGCGAAGTTTGTTGGAGAAATGCAGTCAAGCGCTGGTGTCACTGATGCTTGGGTTCAAATGCAAGTGAAGTTCAATGAAGAAGTACTCCATCAAACCCTACTCACACCTGACAAAGATGGAATAATCAGGTTGAAATATTGTGTATTTGTTTTTAAAATACTTATACAGTGACAAAATACGCATGATATGCACCAGCCTTCAGGAAGAGGCGACATGGATCACAAAGGTCATCATTAAATCTACTCGCTGCTTAGAAGAGCATTCGATTTTTGATGCCATAAGCCCGTAGAGACGAAAACTTGACCGTTGACGAAACATCTCGCATTCCCCTGTTGATGCATGAGAAGTTGGTCAATGCCTAGATGCCTGCAATTTGGTTCCTTCTGATGTAATTTGACTTCGTTTTGGATACACGGTTTAACAACCATCTGACACCGATTTGACAACTGCAGCCATTCGCATCGCGTTCCATGGTATAGGCGAACGCAAAGGCAAAAGCGAAAAGCTGGCAAAGATAAGAGGTCACGAAAAGGCTACTTAGTCGACCGTAGGGTCATAGTATCACCAACTTTACATCCATATAGCATAACCAGGCGTAGCGTTCGTGCCAATTCACACATAATATTATCAGTTTCAAATTGTGGATTGTAATCTCCGTTACCCGTCGCTGGTAGCTTATATAAAAAAATAAAGGGCTCCGGAAACTCGACAAGCTGCTTCCGCGCCTCCAATCGTCTCAACTACGTCCAAACCATCGGAGGCGCTTACCAGCGGCCCAGCTAGTCCCCACTAATCCTCTCTCGGCCTCCATGCAATCGCCTTTAACAATCAAGCGGAAGCTGTTCAGAGCAAGTGGCCTAAAGGGCAAGCCTTGAGGTAGAAGATGCATACAGATCTGAAAACCGACGGATGATCACATGCATCATCTGTGTGTCACATGTGATACACACGTGACCTTAAAGTTGCGTGCCTGCACAGCAACATCGGCAGTTGACTTGCGTGTTGACAATGACTTAGGCAGGAGCCCATCCAGCTCCAGGCTTACAAGCTGGAAACTGACAGTCGGCCGGAGCCATGAAGTGCAGTTGCGTCCATTAGTCTTCGGCAAACATAGTCTGATGCACAGCTTGGTCCGCGCCTGTCGCTCAGTTGAAAGGCGCGGGACATCTGGCCACTGTGCGGCAGCCATGCGGGGGCTCAGGCCCGACAGGCCGCACCATGCGACAAGTCAATGCTCCGTTGTTGCACCTGTTCATTTTCCAGTATTCTGCAACAGCAGCACCTTTATTTTCAGGTCTGAGCGGTGTTTTTTGTTGTTGATTTTAAGCCGGTGCGAGATCGGCCGATCGATTACCAAACCTTTTCTGTATTCGACACCAAATGAAAGGCGTCCGGATATTGACCCACCGTGCATTACAAAGGAGGTTGACGGATGCATTTTCGGTTGTCAATTTTTCGTTTAAATAGGAGCGAGGACAATAGCACGGCGATAACAGCTGGTGACCGCCGTAATCTGAAGGCCATCGATACAAATATTGGGCCAATGAATAAAGAAGGATATAATAAACAAATAAATATATATATATACGCATATATAAACATACCTATATATTCACGCGTATATATATATATATATATATATATATATATATATATATATATATATATATATATACATGAATCTGATTGGTATAGCAGGCAGCGAGTGAATGTGAGCAGCGGCTGAGCAGGAGGCCCGTTGCCAGGTCGTCAGTGCGGAGGGACGTCAGCGGTCGCGCCGCCGCATGCGGCCACTCTCTGCGGTCGCGGCGCACGCATGCTGCCGACGCCATTCCGACGACGGCAGCGCCGCGGCCTGACGCCAGACGCGGCCGCTCGGTGCCTGTGCGGGACCTGAGCACGGTCAGGCCGGCCGACGAGGGGCAGCCGGACAGTGGACGGCCCTCGGCGCTCGGTCACCGGTCCAGCGGACCCGCTCTCAGACGATGAGCCGCCTCCAACCGTCTGTCACTGACACGAGGGTCGCTGCGAGCAACGCTGGACCACGCTGGGCTTCGGGGACCCTCCGAGTGCGTGGGGCTGTGGGGGATGGGTTAACTAGTCTCTCCCACGGTCATGTTCAGCATCAGGAGTGGGTCTTGGCCATCAGCTGGCTGTGAGGGATGGGTTTAATAGCTTCTCTCACGATCTTGTCAAGTTTCAGGACTGAGCCTAGGCCGTCATCTAGCTAAGATGAAAGACAAATTACCCGAAATTCTCAGGCTATCAAAATGAGAGATCCCTTCTGCTGTCCTTTTTTGCGTCTGATTATTGGAGGACACCACGAATAAGATTATAAAAGCCACAAGTATCTTTTCTGCTGTTTTCTTTTTCCTTTTTGTTTGGGTTTGATTATTGCAGAGCAGCGCGAAGAAAATAATTATGGCCGTAGGTAAATACACAAGCTCTGGAAAGTAAGACCATGGTCATCGGAATCGTCGGAGCGCATGTGTTTGAAGGGCTGACTGGGAGGCAGTTAACGATTGAGCCACGATCAAAGGTCATTTCCAAATACAACTACCGTCACATTGTTTTCGCACAAATCACCGCAATGCGGAGCTAAGCGGAGTTTGCTACCCTCTGGCGGGAGTCAGCCCGAGCGCCCGCATGCAGCCCAAATAATGTAAGCATACCTGTGTGAGGTAAGTTTCCGTGGCAGAGGACTCCCTGATGCGTGCTGTCTTCTGCTAGCACTTTCCACTCTTCTACATGCCATGGCTCGAGTATAGTCAGCGCTGGCCGAAAGACTCTAATCCTAACCAAATTAAACCAAACCACGTCACCGTGCCTTTAACTAAGCAGCGCGTTGTCAGCAATATTTGAAAACGTTCCAGGACGCTGGGTTTGACCGTGCGAGAACAAAGGCGAAACTCTGACTCTTCGTCTCATTGAAATAGTGAAAGGTAAATGAGGGAACATCAGGGAAGAAGCAAAGTTAACCCACGTGGATGTCAAGGAGGCGAATGTCTCTCATGCTGTTGCACACGCGCCCCGACGTTCACAGCCCCTTGCTCCTCCCTTCGCTTAGGATCGGCCACTCAGCATCGAGCCGGATGACGGTCAACCCAGCATCTATGCGTCTCGGGTGCTGCGATCTGGGCGGGATTGCCAGGATGTGAGGGTTCAGGGTCAAACGGCAACGCATTAGCAGCACGTACAGGTGTGAGGCGGAGAGGGCGAGGGAGACGCAGGTCTGATAAAATGAATTCAGATTTACCTCTCTGACACACAACTGAACGAGTACTGCCACAGTTAACACCAGGGGTTCGCAATTGGTGCATACAATGCTGAGAAAACGGCCTAGGCAGGATTTTGGATGTGTGTGGGAGGGTATAACTAGTTTTTTTAAACAGAAAACCGAGTTTAGTGCGTCGCCGGTGCTTACCATTGTTTGAGTGTTGTGATGCGGCATTGCATGTTCTCGACCTTTGAATTTTCGCGCATGCACCTATAGCTTTCAACTGTCAACACTTAGCCACGTACAGGTTACGTATCGTCAATTTGGTAAGGGGGACGTGCCAAGGGATCCACTACATGCGTACGCTCTTGGTTCAGAGGGTGTTGGTATTTTGAGAGACATGTTAAACCCAGAAAACCATGTTCGTCGTTCACCGCGTGCATATTTGGTTGATCGGGTGAATAACTAGATCTGGCGACTAATACACATCACAAGATGCGAGTGCAACGATTGCAGATCCGGCAAGAGTGAGCCATTCCAGTCAAGCGAATACAATACTTCAGGACCAAAGAACGTGCCGATGGGAGCTCTCAGCAGTCAATTTCCAGGAACAAGCGAACACCTGCCGTCATAACGATGGCCAGCGAAGACGAGAAGGTGCAAAGTGCAGACGATCGTACCTGTCCTCTCCGGAGTCTACAAATGAGTTACGTCGCCCCTAAAAGCCGAATCCTTCAGAGGATTCACCGTCATCAATCACTGATACATGCAGTCTTGTCCAAAATTCTTCAAAGCCTGAACCGGCTGACAAACACGGCCTTGATGGGCGACCGAGACAGTGCCTCAAACGGCGCTGTCACAACTACTGCGAACGGATTTTACGCAGATCTGGTTGGATTACATCAAGCATGCGCCATGTGGCAGATCATAAAATGGTTACAATAGCTGCACCCTCATGAGAAATCAGGAGGCAACAGCGAACAAGACCCATTTGTTTGAAACTCCCATCAGTGACGCAGTTTGCTATTCAGATGAGGAGGGAGGGGGCGCTCAAGTCTCTCGTGACTTTGAGAAGAAATCCGGCCGAATGAAACCCGTTTATCAGCGCATTTTGGGAACACGTTGCGTCATTTTTCACAGCTCAGCCCTCGCCGCGGTGCTCTCCATGGATGCATCACCGCCAGAACTGGAAACCAGCAGGCCATTGTAACGTTCTGGTCAAAACGGCCCACTTCCGTTCCATTTAGAAGTTCGGCACTTATTGGAGAGTTCCTTCTCGTGATGGTTTTTATTTATCATCCGCAAAAGGTTGCCCATGATTCATCCTGAATTCAGTTTAAAAGACGCCCATCCGTTAAATCGCAGCAGCGGCTTCAGCGCAGCTTAACACGTCGGAGACCAGAGCCTTGGTCTGACGATAGACACCAGGCAATAATGACCTCTATCAACATCGCATCAGCGATCAACATCTCAGGGGTCGTACCACAAACGTGTCAATTCCTGCACACTAACACCTTGTAAGACGGCGACAGGTTTGAAGGCTGGAAGACGCCATTA